GGTGGTAGGCTTTTAACGTTGTTGCCGCCGTCGGGGAAATCGCTACACGAATACATATAACATATATATAGGTATACGGTATACGGTATTGTGTTTGGGAAATCGCACCTGTTTGTCGGTGAAGTGGTTTATCGCGTGGTGTTAATGGCCCCACGCGTTTGTCCCGCGGGGTGATCAATCGCCGAGAGATTCGAAAATGTAAGCGGAAATAAAAACTATTTTCCGAAATTCACTTTTACATTTAAAACAAAGTTGAACATCTATATATATATATATATTGTATAAACGTATTAAATCAATAGATAAATATGTATTATTATTATAATATTATAAAAGTACTGAGCGAATTGTATCATATAGTTTAAGACCCAGCGTTCGTAAGGTTAGTATCGATTCTTTTGAAGTATATATTAGTATAATAGTAATTTATTACATATATTTTCTTTTATTTATAAAATTAATATTATGTATATCATTGCCATGCATACTAACTATTAAGTTGCATGACTTACTAGGACGAGGGTGCGTGAAACTTGGAACACGGCAACGAAATARAATAGTAAAGGTACATAAAGTAATATAATWTGTGCACGATATATTTTCACTTGGAAAATATTTTTATATACTCACGTMTATAATGTATATTGAATAAAAAAAAACAAATAACAAAAATGCATCGAAAATAAAATGTAATATGTGAATAATGTAAAAATATATTTATACGATATTATAATATACCTATAGTATATACCCATTGTAAATAGTAACTATAATAATGTAGTAAAATGTATTCCAAAATTTAATGTATACATATATATATATTCCTTTCTTTTTCTTGTATACATTTTAACTAAAGTAGGCTAAAAACATGTGTTGTTGAAGCCTTAATAAACTTTAAAAAAAATATATATATATATCTAGTGATACAAACTGCATCGATATAAACGTGTGATCTTATAGAAAAGAGCGCGTGTTTGCCGTCACATATTATATAAATATAATATATCGTTCCCAGACTGTAATAATAATGAGCATAATTAGGAGTAGGTATAAGTATGACAAAACGGTGTACCATTATTTTATAGATTATATTGTACAACTGGAACGATACAGCGACGGTATGGAATAATATCAGTAATAATAATAAGCCGCGCACAATACCGTGTATGATGTAGTGTAATATATAATACGATATTATACATCTAATACGTATGACATGGAACGAGTTTCGCTGCGTACTAATATACCTACTTATATGTGTACATATTATATAGGTATACTACGTAAATGGAAATTCGTTTTGCGCGACGTGTTTAGACTGTTTAGAGCAAAAAAAATTCTCTCCAGACAACTATATTTATACATACACATACAATACTATTGGTACTATTATATTATTAAACCGATAATATTACACATTGTAGCCATTGCAGGCCGCGCAGACTACAGAGTAGGACGAAGAAATTCAGAAAATAATCACTGCTCGGCAGAGAACAGACCGTCGCGTCCATTGTTTATTTTTTTCTACGTCCTTCCACCACTTTTTCATTAGGTACTGTTATTATTATTATTTTTGCACTCGTCTACAATTAGCGTCGGTTGTATAACAAGAAATAATATACCAACATTTAATACGATATTATTATGTAAAACACGGCCGCCACAATGGTCGACGTCGTCGTCGTCGCCGCGCATGAGTTATGGTGGACGTAAGTAGAAACGAAGGGTTTGCACGGGGGGCGGCCGGTGAGGGTGTGGCAGGATGACGGGGGGGAGGGACACCATTAAAGTCGACAACAGGTCAATACGTTGTGGGAACTCGTATTACGGCTTGCTATGTGTGCGTTTATGTGTGTATGTGTGTATGCGTACACGATTGTCCCGTGTTGGAAGAAACGAGAAGAGGAAGAGTAATAATATATATATTGTGGCGCCMAACTTAGTCTGAACAATGTTATACTATGTGCGTGTGTGCGTGCGTATAAATGTATTTTCTCGTTTTCGAATTCTCTCTCCGCGCCATCAGCGAGTAATACCTTTTATTCCTTCAGGATCGTGCCGGTCGGTCAGCGCGTGGTGCAGCGCACAGTGTATATAAAAATATAAATCCCTTCTACGGTCGAGTGTAAATCCGTTGACGAATACGTGACTAGAAATCGTGACAAAGGGCGTGTGATCGTGTGTGTGTGCGTGTGTGTGTATGTGAGTGTGGGTGTGATGTGGTGTACCTATATTATATTGTATAATAATAATATGTATACCGCATATTTCCGGAAGACTCAACTACCACTCAAAAGCTCTGCACCCGGTCAACTTGAAAGGTCAATTCCATTCCCCCCTATAATATAATTTATGGACGTTTTTTCGAAGATACGGTCCTATATGCCAGACGACCTACACGTATATAATATAAGGGTGCAAAATATGCGCTCTACATACTCTCTGTATAGGTATTAACTGCAAGTGTATTATTATAAAAGTTCTCCGATACTCGCAGCTTTTATATTATTATATTATATTATTGTAGACCAAAGTTACATATTGAATACCAGACTGCCCAGACTGCGCAAAAATAATGTACCTATATAATATAAATACAGAAATTCTTTGACACATTTYCAATTAAAGACTTTATCAACCTGAAATATTAACACTTGACAAATATGACTAATATTTTACGGCTATAAAAAGCAATTTGTACTTTCTGTTTAATTCATTATAATTATTACCTATTATCTCTATTAAAGTATAAAATATGTAATACAAGATAATGAATAACCAGCGGGTTTTATCCTTCAAAAAAAAARTTTAAAAAATAAATTACTACAGTAATCCAATTTAATTTTGTAATTTTACTGAAATCTAAAATTATAATGATAATGTATAATTTATTTTACATACTCGTGGACGAATTTACGTTTAATGTTTAAATTATTGAAAAACATTCAATAAATATTTCCTACCTTGCATAGATAATTAGCGTTTGGCGTGTAAGTTACACAAAATATCCGTCGCGTCATCGTGCACACGACGGTTAAGTGTATTATTGTTTTCAACGTCATCGCACGCGTATATAGACGCGGTAGCGCATACAATAATAATACGTGTCAGTGGGATAACGTATCAATCAACTGTATACGAGCACGTTATATACACACCCATTACTCTCTCTCTCTCTCTCTCTCTCTCTCTCTCCCGTTCTCTCAATCTGTCTGTGTGTGTATAAACTCATTGATATAAAAGATGCTCGTGTTTATATTCATCAATCCACCCCTCATATATATATACGGTTATTTTTCACGCGACGGCATTTACTACCCTCTTTATACTCGATCGCATATATATATATATATATATATGTATAGAGTCATAAGCTTCTCTCTTTATTTATTTTTTCGCTCCCCCAAAAAGGCTCTCTCAGTGCCGCCGTCAATTTTCCGCTCGTTAATGAAGCCTCCGCCCAGGCAGTTGCGGTTCTCTCGTGCGCGCACACACACACGTTYGCCTGCGCAAACGAGTAGGGTGTATATAGGGTAGTATCGTGAAAGTGGTGTGTATACATATACATACTTCGCGTATACAAAGAGAGAGGCGCACAGCACAACAGTTCGCGAAATCACCGCCACCGCACTCTCCTCCGCCCGTCGATAAATCACGTCCCACGCCGATTTCCAACCCCTGTAGCACCGGAGACGGCGGTAGATGGGCGTCATTCCCTCTCTACGGTTAACCGGAGGCTGTGGCGGGAGCGGATTGATTTATGAACGTTGCACTTCGCGCGCGCCAAAGCTTCTTCTCTCGCCGCCGCCGCTGGAGTTTATATATACACGTGGCCCGATCATATATATATATATATTATATATAATATAATAGTAAACCTTTGCGCGCGTAAAGGCTTTTTATTTCTGAGCGCACCCCAAATAATCGAATATAATTGATACTGGATTATATGGGCGACTTGACTTATGGGCTCGCGTTAAAAGGGCCATTAAAGAAAAAAAAATACTGCAGAAAAAACTGAGATCCATTGCGTGAAATCATCAAACAATGACGTGTCTCCATCACGCGTGTACGATAAACACRACAAATTCGAGATACGCGAAATCTAATTTATTTTAATTTAACAACAACGATATTTTATACACGCAAACATATCGGTAGTGTTCAATTGAAAAAGACAGTGATATATTTTCTATCGAAAATAAGTTTAAAAAAAAATTCACTTGCTTATAAAAAAAATCTTTATAATATGTCTTTATAAAGTGTACTGATTGTCTTGATCAGTGGCGTGCATAACACGAGGGCACGGAGTATATAGGCTAATGGACCACTCATTTTATGGTTCATGAAAGTGTATTTCTACAAAAGGMCATTCCTTTAGTAGTTTTCTTAAAAATTGTAAACACAATCCTCACCGAAAAAAATTGTGTGTGTACTATTGCGTGGAATTGCTTGAACAAAAATTAAAAAGAATCGAATAATAAATAAATCGAACATCACTCGAGGTGGCGTCTGTACGTATAAAAAAACAGGTGAAAAACAATTTTCCGTATTTACTATATATGTTACATWGGTAGGGAGACTTTACTCAATCATTATACTCTTCTGCAGTAAAGTTTAGAGAAATCATCAAATCGTCAATTGTTGTGCTCACCATATTTTTTATCACGGACCACGGTCCTCAGTCCTCGTCGTCGATTATATATATTATGCTGGTAATAAATAATATTCAATCAATTCATCCGTTTATCATAATAAATTTTTTGGTTTTATATTTCAATATGTTTCCAACAAACTGACACTTTATGATTTATACCCATATAATATAGTATYATCGATGAGACTATATGTATACCTAATATGAGTAATATGACGTATCATTATCTTTAGTATCTATGATTGTTGTATATTATACCTATACATGATATATCTACACCTATAATGGCTTATATTGTGACAAAGTCGCTACTTCTAATATTTTACATAGTTAAAGAGCTCACCAAGTGAGGGTAGAACGATGACGTGTCGATGCTCGGGTACGGATTCTGATCGGTGGACGGGTACGGTGCATACACAGCCGTTGTGGCCGGTGTGCTACGGTGACTGGCGTAGTGGGGTGGCAGCGATGCGGCCGCGGCCAGGTGACATGAGCACACGGCCACAGCAGACTCGGAACCGGCGTTGCGGTCGCCCGTTCCGCCGCCGATAGTGGTGGCGGTACAGCACGTGCCGCACCCAGCGGCGCCCATAACGTCGGGCGATAAGCCACCACCTCCGCCTCCGGCGGCCAACGGCGGTGATACCGATTCTGCCGTCATCGCGCTCTGCGAAAAAAATATATATATTAATATATTATAAAAAAATAATAATATGTATTATATTATAATGTAATCAAAAAAGTAACTTATGATAAATCTATTATAATAAATTAGTCAAAGTTCCTACTGCACTGAAAGGTACCGAATTATGTATTTTTTTTCATAGATGCATGTTATCACATTTACTCATTGTTCAATATTTATAAACATATTGCAGTAAATAGAAAAAAAGAGATCTTGAAAAATTGTACATATAAACATTATATAATATACTTCTACTAAAACCACGCGAATAAAAAACGGCAACCATAAAAGTAGATATTCAATAGTTACATATATGCGTAAAATATATAGCGATACGCAAATAACACTACACATGTATATATATATATAATTATATATATATAGCAGATTGAAAAAAAATTAATACCTTAAACATTTAGGTAGTACCTATCGTATAGTATTTTTATATATTATACCTAGGTACACTATTGAGTTGCATGTATAATAATACCTTAAATTAAGCCATTGTCATTTCAACGTTATCTATAATATAACAATTACATTTACACTTTGATAATTATCTTTATTTAATGAATACAGAAAAATAAATAAATGTTGAGAGAACTGCAATTGAAGTATAATCTTATATAGTTTATACTTTATAATATGCACCTAGGTATTACGGTTTATGAGGGATCTGAATTCCGAAATAATCGTAAGTTAATGAGGATGTAAGGTAAAAGTTGATTACTCTAGTTATGACACCTGGTTTTAATCACGAGGGGGAAAATGGATGAAAGGATAATCAACATATTATTATTATATACTCGTTATTAAACATACGTGACGTTTGATTTAAATATTTATCCATGAAAAAGCTGATAATAATAATAATAATAATAATAATGTAACGTATTGTTGTCGCAGAAACGAGTTTGCATATATACATAAACACAACACTGCAGCTACACAGGTATACTTGGGTATAGCAGGCTGTCAACTAAAACCATCGTAACGAATATATATAGGTATATATTTGCGCGTTATATAATTTTTGTAAAGATAATATTATATAGTAAGTACAGCCTGTTGTTTGTACGCAAAATCTACGCGCATAAGGGAAATTGATACGTTTCGTAACATTAAACGCCGTCGTCACCTCKGTTTAGGTGTGCGCACGCATAGTATTACGACGAGAGCGGCGACCACGACGTTATTACTCGCGCGGACAGTCCCGTCTGCGGGCAGCGGGCGTCTGTCGTCGTATAATTATTTTAATTGGCCATTCGATACCAGTCATAGTGTGTGTGTGTGTGTGAGAGTGAGTGTTTGTGTGTGGACGGTGGCGAGTAGACCGGTTGTGAGGTGTGAACCCGAAAGCGCTTCGTCGGGTTTTCAAGAAAGGTATATTATAATATATATACGTACTTACGTATATTAATATATTATATTATCTATATCTCGTCGTCGTCGACACCAACTCGACCGCAAAAACCAATAGACCGGAATGACCGGGCGGCAGCAGTAGACAATAATAATGAAAATATAACAATATATTATGCATACATAATACACACCTATAGGCTGTTTATTGTTATATGCGCATAGATACCTGGCAGTATATAATAGGCCGCCGCAGGTTTTTTATTTATATATACAATAATTATACATAAAATATATATTAGTCTACAGTGTCGCGGAACAAACGCGATGCGATGTTGGTTCGATGGAAACCGTAGGCAGGTGTCGATGCCCGTGTTTTCGGAACTTTTACACGATTATTCGCACATTTTAATAAAATATTTTAATTTTACAATATTGTTGTGGCACTCGAAATTTTATCAGTTACCAACGTGCATCAAAATACGCACGCTGTAGATGAATATAATAATAGGTTAGGTAACTAGAATCTATTATCTACCAATAATGTTTATACCTATATAGGAACGTATACCTATCGTAAATCAGCATTTAAATTACGTCCATATTACGCGCGCACCATGTGCATAATTATCATTGCACGCTGTCATGTCAACAATCGATTTTAATGACAATTTAATATGATGGGTACCTATTAATTAATATTAAACGGGTATACACTTAAACGCGTGCAAATTTACCGGCAACACTTGGTAGTTTTCGTCTGTGTTTTATTTTATTTCTAGAAACATTATAATAATTATAACAACAATTCCCATATCGTGTTATTAATATATTATATTMTTATAAACGGATAAAACTTGTACACCATATACATATTATAACGTATCTATTATATACATATATATTATATACACACGGACACCCGGCGTCAGGCTAGCCCATGTCCCGGACACTATATATAATACCGTATATACAAATGGGTAGGAGGCCAATGGTGGGGTGTAGTAACGTAATAAAATTCTATATAATTTATACACGCAGTAACAATTCATAAATATTTATGAACCCGTTTTCGTGGGCTATATACGTGCGTATATACAACACACCACCACCGTGTGTATATACGCGATGCGTTTGATCGTCGTACTGATAACAGCCATTATTACGGTTATATATTATAAATATATATTATATATTATACGCGTACATAATATACATATAACATAAAATACCCACACGCGCGTATTTTATATTTTTTTTTTTTCGCATTCTATACACTGCTGCTTGCACTTTAATACTCTATTATGCCTACCTATAGTATACCTACCTATATTATATTATTACAAATTCGCTAAAATGTGCTTTTGTTAATTAACATTTACAATAGTACCTACATACTGTATACATATATTAAGCGTGCCTATGGTACTTATTCAAGTTCTAATACACACATACAAATATACGACATCATCGAAGTCGTCATGCGTAACGCGTTTTAATTACAACGCGGGCGATAAGCGAATTTCGTCGGGTTATCAATCAACTACGWTGTAATTAAGGGAAAACTCGTGTTTCTTTACTATATAAATGTATTAGAAATATGTGTCATAACTCATAATCTAGAMGTGCAAGAATAGCATTCACCTTCATCCGCCCCTCTCACCCATAATTTCCTTGCTCAAGAGTAAAAAATATAATATGATATTGTTTTTTCGTAGAATACTAGAAATACTAGAATAGTTTAAGTTGTATATTTTATGTAGAGATGGATAAATAGAAAGAGAGAAAAAAGTCTCCCGTTTATTTTTTTCATCTCTTTCCAAGAGAGCTGTTGACACATTGTTTACATACTTAACGTCCCACACGACAAGAACGAAATAATATACGAGCTTATTGTTGGAAAATAATAATATTAAAAAGTAGAAAAAAACGTTGACAAGATTATCGTATACTGTATATATATACACCCAGCGCTGTGACCGTTTTTACGATTATTTATTATATTAATATATTATACTTTTATTCCGCTCTCCCGCAATATACGCGTACGCCTACCCCACCACCCGACGGCCATCACCGCAGGTCTCCACCGCCATACGAAATGATTCATTTGCACCGAAATCGGTATACAATACATTATAATTTATATAAACATATTATAAAATATTCGTATAACATGTCCGACYCGCCTGGCGGCATTTAATAGATAACATTGTATATATAATGAAATCAAAACTTTTCGAAATACATAATATATTATGCTTTACACATAAAATATATAGTTAGGAATATATATAGATATTAAGTTAATATTTGATGTTCGTTTGGTGGAAAATGAAAAATATAATCAAAACAACGTCGTGCTTATTGTATTAGCACGCGAGAAACAATAATAATTAAAAGTCGCATATCCTATTGCCGTGAAAACAATGAAATGAAAAAAAAATTGTATAGGTATAGCTATCTTTATTCTTTATATTATAAATATAYGTAKAATAAATTGTCGGTAGTCGATCGGTAGACCGTGAAGCTTCGGCTGCTGATTTTCGTACTTATACTACTGTCTACTTATGTTATATAGGTACGCCTGCAACTGCACGCGTTTAATGTATATATACGCACGCCACAAAACTTTGGTAGACATTGTGTAAAGTAGGAATGCAATTAGTTATAGGTTTCACTATACTTTGTATGCAGCTCGAATTACTATTATAGTCACGAGCGACCTCGTCGCATCAAATAGACTCGAGAAAAACGACTCTTTTAATATCGACGATTAAACGATGATGTAAATGAGGTATACTAAATTAATATTTTAATAATATAAAGTATACTTTATTGGATTATATAGTTTATTATATATCAAAAAAACGGAAAATTTTATTGAAACGGAAAAAACGTGATAACGTATAAAAAAAAATATACCCACCGCGACGAGTGACTGCATATTTTTTATATGGCATAGTTCCTACTTGATAATTACATACAAAATGTGTATATACGTGAGCGGTTTGCCATAACGAGGTTTCTATCGTTTTTTTTCGAATTTATAATTAATAATTGCCGAAAAAAACCAAAATTATGCTGAGTAAAATCGGCCTATTATATTGCTCCAGTGGAAATAAACTCACGACGATTCTAAATTGAGATAATTAGTAATTCTCACGCTAAGAATAAAATGTTTTAATTAAAACCCATAACTTATCTGCTGTAACTGGCGCGCGCGTTTGATGTATACATTGTACATACCTATATGTATGCCGACGCACTTTATGTGTGCGATAATTAAAAAGCTACGTAGCAGTATATTTAGGCACCTACCTATATTCTGTATGTATTACGCAAAAAACAAACCATAACAAACTGTGTTATTACAACAGTTTCCCATTAGAACTTCAACCCAGCGTAAAACCGGAAGTTATTCGAAAATCGTATTTGTCGAAACCATATAATATTGTACCTCTATTAATAAATTCATTTTTGCGCATTCACAATGACGGACAACTCGGCGATATATTTATTGTTTATACTACATCAACCGCAGTTCAGAAACATTATATATTTAATCGTAATGAGCATTCGGTATCATGCAAATCCTTTTGACAATAGCTCTGCTATTA